GCAAAATGTAAGTCGATGCCCACAATGAACGGATATTTGAAAATTAGTCCATACTGACACTGGCTGTTTTTCTGGGTTCTTTTGGAATGCGGCATAAGGAGTCAGCCCAGTACAGCCCCAGGCACATTTCCAGCCTCGGTATCAGTCAGCTAGCGCACGTGTTCAGTCAGCAGTCAGCGCTGGAATGCTGAATGAGAAAATGTTCAGAGCATGTTGTTCATGTTGGTTAGGGGAAATAAGCAATCTATTTTGTGTCTAAAATTTAATTATGACTTTAATATAACTCAACATGTTGATTTAAAAAAAGAAGGAATCATCAAAGAAAACTAAGAAGACATGACAGAAAAGGAGAAATACTTTGCCAATATGGAAACAGAAGAACTGTAGAACATATGTTAAACATAAATTTATGACTGTTACAGCATAAAACCTACGTCTATCCTGAATGAGGGTGAGCATCTAATAGGAAGGAAAATTGTGAAAGATATTTCCTAAGAAATTGAAATTTTTGTTATGTGCAGAACATGTAATAAACCTCTTATTTAGAATGTAATCCAAGAAGTATAAAAATTGTGTTGTCAGAAAATCAGTTTGTCCTTGCCTCATTGAACAGATATTTAAAGAATAACAGCTTGAAAATGCATCTCAGATAATTAGCCTTCCCAGGAAACTCATGTGTCTTAGCCTGGCTCTAGAGGAGAGATTTTTACAAAGAGGATTGGACTCATATTTTTTGAAAAAAAGTGATTGATTCTACTAAAAAAGCCTAAAAAATTACAAAATTAATTAGTCAATTAAATTGGAGGATTCTCTATTTCTGGTTACCAGTCCAATCTATCCTCCAACAAACGACTGAAAAAAAGAAACTTTATCTTCAGAGGAACGGAGAAAGATTCATGTTAGAATTTCCAAAAGAAGGTTATATGCATGTACCAGAGGCCAGTAACTTTTATTTGAGGGGGATATGTGTACCTTATCTTTCTCACCTCAATAGGAGATCTTCTTTTCTGGAGAACAATTTAAAATCCTGAGACTTCCCCTGATATGTGAGAAGTGATTTGGAAGAAAATAGGGTTGACTATCAGGAGATCTAAAATTTCATTTATATAACAAATATGTATTGAGTCCCTACTGTAGGCAGGCATTGTTTTAAGTCCTGGGGATAAAGGAGTGACCAAAATAGACACAATTCCTGCCTCTAAGGAACTTAGTGTCTTACATGAAATACAAAGTACGGAAAAGATAACTAAGAGTACACATGGAATGATCGAATGTGATCGATGCTAAGGAAAAACGTAAAGCCAGGAATAGGAGAGGAGATGGGCCTGTGCCTGCACATTTAAATGCGGTGGCCAGGGAACTGAGAGTTGACATTTCATGAATGTGCTGAAAGAAGTGCGGGAAGCACCCAGGTGCGCCCGGGGCAAGACGGGGTCAGAGAGGGTGAGGCTGGGGATAGGGGGTGGGGAGGCGGGGCTATGCAGCCGCCAGAAGGACCTACGCCGCTGTGGTATGAGGTTTCAGACGTAGTATGTACTAGTTTGTTTGCATCGGTCCCTTCTATACGAGTTATTGAACTACTGTCCAATTCATGCTTATCATAGATTTCCAATGTTGATATCGTGAGAGATATTTTCTGTTTGGAATGTGTCTTTATCTCTTTCTGGATCTTTGGCTAGCCAACTGTATGATTGTATAGAGTTATATTTAAGGCTGTTTAAAATTTTTGGTTTAAATTTACACAAGTTGGAAAAGGCAAATACTGGTACATACTAAAAATACGCAATCTTCTGTTAACTGGTATGTGGTGATATTTCAGTGAAATATAGCTTTCCCCCCAGATTTATTGAGATATAATTGACATATAACATTGTATAGGTTAAATGTGTACAATGTATTGATTTAGTACATTAATAAATTTCAAAATGGCTATCATCATAGTGTCAGCTGATACCTGTGTCCTGTCACATAGTTACTGTTTTTGGGGGCAGGTGAGAACATCTATGATCTACCCTCTTAGCAACTTTCAAGTGTATAACATAGTATTATTAGCTATAATCATCATGCTGTAAATTAAATCTTCATAATTTATTAATCTTATAATTGGAAGTTTGTACCTTTTGACCAGTAGCTCCCCATTTCCCCCACCTCCCAGCCCTTGGTAACCATCACTCTGTTTCTCTGAGGCAAGATCTTTTTTAAGATTCCACATATAAATGATATCGTGTAGCGCTTGTCTGTCTCTGTCTCACTTAGCAGTGACACATTGCTTAACACAACTTTGGTAACTATTAGTTTATAGAATATTTGAATGCTTGATTGAGAAATGAAATCTATAATTGTAAGGAGCATACACATACTGATTTCTTTTGCTCTGCAGCACTTAAAAAATTTCAACTCACATATCACTTAGAGTAAAATATATGAATCTTAACTGATATAATACTATTATCCATTACATCATGTACATTACAACTTTGCCAGTTGTCCCAATAACATTCTTCATGGCAATCTCTCCCTCTCCTTCCCACCTCCAGGATCACATTTAGTTGTTGTGTCTCTTACTCTCTTTTAAACTGTGTATACCATGACATCTGCATTTTTGAAGATTACAGGGCGGTTGTCTAGTAAATGTACCTCAATTTGGGTTTGTCTGATGATTGCATTCAGGTTATGCCTTTTTAACATAATTAGAACTTTAGACTTGCATAAGCTATTTTGCAAACCACAAAGCAAAAGATGAATTTAAAAGTTAGTCACACCCTTTCTATAGACTCCCATTGCTTCAAAAGTGTCCATTCCTGCCTACATGCTAAGAGGAATGCATTTGATAACCAGCTCACTTTGAGGTGTCAGTGACTGAAGACTATACCTGAGTTAGTAAACCTGTCAGGCATCACTGTATTTTAAAAGAAAAATTTATTAACCCAAAAGGTGCAATTTCTTAAAAAAGTCACAAAGTCCTATGCTTTTACCTGCAGGTGTGGGCTGCTTTTCATTTAGGCAACTCTATACATGTTCAAGGGTGAAAGTGATGCAATTTTACTTAGAGTTATTTTGCGAAAGCCCTCACTATGAAACATGACAGCAATAGTCTGCTTTCTTAGTAGGTGCAATGACAAATTCATTGAAGCTGTTCATCTATCTTTAGTTTGTCTTAGTTTTCCTGATGTTGAATACCACATAGCCAGGCCTTCAGAGACTCATTTCAGAGCAGTTAACTATTGGGTTGCAAAAGTTCTAATGTCTGGGGAGAGAGAGGTTGGTTGTGGACGGAGCACCTGCAAGAGTGCCCAGTGTCCAGGTGAGCAGTGAGCAGTGAGCGGTGATGGGGGAGGGGTGGTTCTGAAAGGGAGGTGAGAGTCACACGCAAACCTGTCTCGGACTTTAAGTTTGCCCAAGGTTGGCCCTTTTCTACTCATGCCCCACTATCCAAAAGGAAAGCAAAAAAAGAGAGCAAGTTTATTAACACAATATAGAATTTCTTAATGAGGATTTCAAGTACAGGTTTTATTTAAGCCTGCCATTTTGAAGCAAATATCTGTTCTTATAATAAAATATGCTATGAAGTGAGCAAAGGAAATAGGGTTTCCCCCCCTTCCTTTTTATCTTTTAATACAGCAAGGAAGCACAGCAGTCTCTTTCCATTTCCCAGGCAACATTCCCAGTGACCTCACATCTTTATGTTCTTTCCTTCCTTTGTAGAAGCAGCAGCAGCAGTAAATTTGCCCATAGATCTTGGGAGGAACAGGTGTAAGACACAGACTACCTATGCAAAACCAAATATCCTACGTTACAGGCAAGATGAATGGCACAAACAGGAGGTGGTATTTTACAGAATGGCTAGAGAAATAACCAGTGAATCCAGCCTGTGGGATGTGTTGCTTATATTGCACCCTAGGAATACAAGGTTCCTATAGTTGAGTAAACTTATGTCTGTGGAGTCCTAGAGTTAGCAGAACATCCATGTAAACGTAATCAGACTTCTGAGCCCAGAACCATGTTGAATTCTAGGGGAAGTATATTAAGCTAGTAGCTGTACAATGATAATGAGAGAAAGTAAGATACTTGTCAAGCAGCAAGTTTGCACTGGTTGCTTAAAAAAGTTAACATTAAAGTACATTTAGATATTACAATTATAAAGAGTTGTTGGGGTAGGTAATTCAGTTTATCATTTAAATTGAATTAAGTATTACCTATAGTCAGACTTCCCATAACCTTGTTTTGCTTTAATCTTTATAATTTCTTTTTGTTGTTAGAAAACTGAGTGGATCTTGTAAGTTCTCATCACAAAGAAAAATGAATTTGTAACTATGTATGGTGTTGATGTTAACTGGCTTATTGTGGTGATCATTTTTAGCAATATATACAAATATTGAATAATTACATTGTACATCTAAAACTAATATAATGCAATGTCAATTGTACTTCAATAAAAATATAGTAAATGAATAAATAACTATTTACCTCACTGCCAGAGATACTTTCAATAAAACTTTCAGTTTTCTAGAGTTTCTTTTAAAGTTCGCTTTGTAATACACCTTGCTAAGTTTTCCAGTGACTATAAAATGGTGTCAGTAGTGTCTTCATTTGGTTTATAACAATCTTGATTTATTTAAATGCTCCTCACTCTAATTTAGAAGATGGAGCTGATTCTTCTGGCATTTCAGTATGGATGGGAATGACTAGAATCACTCATTTAGGGATTTTATTTGCATAAATATCCTGTGATCATATAATATTGGGAATAAGAATAATGTGGTTATTGCTTCCATTTAACAAACTTGAATAACCTATACACCAATATCTTCACTGCTAACAATGAGAACAATCTGTAGTCAGTGGTGTTTAAGATAATTTTTGAATAGACAAAAGGGGAAAAAAAAGATAATTTTAAAATTCAATAGTTTTAGTTTGGAAAAAGAAAGCAGAAATCTTTTTATAGTCTTTTTCTGAGGTATTGACTTCTTTTGCTTCAGCAGGTTTGTGGCTTCTCTCTTCTATCTGTTTTCCTCAGATGAACTTCCTCTCCGGAATCTTCTTCTGGGGAAATATCTGTAATGTGGAATAAAGCGACTGTTTGGCCAAAAAAATGGAGGGAACTGAAAATGACGATTGCACCTTGGAGGAAAGAAAGGTCTGTTTGGAAACCTGATGTGGACTCTGGGCCTCCATGTTGGAAAAAAATAGGAAGGACGCTTGGGTGTCCTTGTGACGGGCTGGAACCTTGTCACCGGTTTCCTTGTGGTGGGTGGAGGAGTGAGTGTAAAAACCTGACAGTCTGTAGAATCTTCAGGAGAGGTGACTATCTCTTGTCCTGTGGGGAGAAAAATGCAAGTTAGAAAGCAGGCCTGATAACAAAAGCGGAAGGGAGATGCTTGAGGGGTAGCAAGGGAGCAAGATTAGAAGAGAGAAATGGAGAGGTCTCCAAGCATGTTTGGAAGAACTGCCGAGGTTCAGTGAGATGAAACATGGGCACACACGGCGACCCCACGATGGCACTCCGGGGGACTTACCTGAGACGAGTGAGTGCATATGTCTGCAAGAAACTAGTTCAAGAATTTTCATAGCAGCCGTATTCATATTAGACTAAACTTGGAAATAGTACAAATGTCCATCAGTAGGAGGCTATATAAACAGACTGCACATACTCATATAATGAAATACTATTCAGCAAGGAAAAGGAAGAATTACTAATACAACAACAGGGATGCATTCCATGGACGTTACGTTGAACAAAGGATTCCATTTTTATAAAGTTCAAGAACAAGCTAAATTAACTTAGGGTTTAAAAGAAAGTTAAAAAAATAGTTAGCTTAGGGTTAGGGTACTTGTTATTTAGTGGAAAAAGTAACCAGGGAACTCTTTAAATCTTGATCTGGGTGGTTGTTACATAGATTTGGAGATAAAGATACACACACACACACATACATATATATACATATATACACACACACACACACCCCACATATACACCTATATACAATTATATTTACATATGCATATGTACACACATGTATGTATGTGTAAAGTGTGATCAATCAGTATCTTTAAGTTTTGTGCATTTTACAGTCAGAGAAAGACAAATACCATATGATTTCACTTATATGTATAATCTAATGAACAAAATAAACTAACAAACAAAATAGAAACAGATTGATAGAGAACAAACTGACCGCTGTCAGAGGGGAGGAGTTAGGGAGTGAAAAAGGTAACAGGATTAAGCAAAAAAAAAAAAAAAAAAAAAAAAAACCCAGAAAACAAAAAACTCTCATAAACAGACAACAGTGAGGTGTTTACCAGAGAGAAAGGGAGGTGGGGGGAGGTAGACGCGGGTAAAAGGGGGATTATGTGGTGATGGAAGGAGACTTGACTTGGGGTGGTGAACACACAATAAACTATACAGATGATGTATTGTAGAATTGTACCCTGAAACCTAATAAAATATAATTTTATTAACCAATGCCACCCCAATAAATTTATTTAAAAAATAAAGAGAAGTAGTTGAATAAAAGAACATAGTGTTAAGAAAATAAAAATAACTGCCGCCACCCCCACCCCCTGCCCCAGAGGCCATTAATCCAAAAGGCCTGCTTGTCCCTCGCTGTGAAACCATTCCCCAAGGGGTAGGGAGGGAGCCTCTAGGAGCCGCAGCGGGAATGAGCGCTGAGGACCAGCGTGACAGTAGTGTCTGAGAAGAAATTCGGATCAGCTCAAGTGTGAAGGTCTTCCCTCTGGCTATATTGTCTAATCTAATTAGCTATGAAAAAGTAATCTGCCCTTTAGAAAATCATGCCCTCACTCCGTTAGAGACTTAGGCCTGGAAAGGACTGCTGAGCGTGTGAATGACGGGAAAATGATGAACTTCCCATAGGAAGCCCGAAGTACAGAAGCACTTAAAAAGAGCTGGATTCCCCTCACCGTCAGAACAGCGGAATTCAGGTTTCTTGGTTGTATTGGATATGCTTACTGCCTGCCTGTGTTCACGATCCCTTGCAGAGATTGTTTCACCCACAACCCTTGGAAAGGTTAGTCCTGGACACCTTTGGCTGTGGCTGATTGGACTGCTGTTAGACACTCAACTCATTCATTGGCTGGCCATTGACCAATCAGATTCTCACTTGATAATTTCAACAATAAAAAACAAAAAACAAAAAACACTGTTAGTGGAGAGTATAGGGAGGGGGCTGGAGTGTTCGGTTTTGGCCAGGTCAGTGTTGAATAATCAGAGAAGCCAGTCTTTCCATAGAAACTATAAAATGGGGAAGGCCTCTCAAACAGAACATGTGGTAACAAAGTGATGGTGAAAGTAACTTGGCTTTTGAATTTCCAGGGCTGGTCCAGCTGAAGGCTGGCTGTACTTAAGGTACTTGGAGATATACTTATAATAATCATTCCACTTCCAGTTCTATTCTTTTTAAAAGCTCACTTGAATGGCTGTCTGCTCCTTAAAGGAAATACTGACTCTCCCAGACCTACCCAGGCTACCGAGTATTAAAATTCTATGACTGAAACTAGATGAAGACATTTCAAACTACAGAAGATGATTAAATCCCACATTACTCATTCTTTCCACCTATATAATTAGATCATTGCTGAATGTTTGTAACATGAAAACCTTCTGCTGAGGACCCAGTTGCCTGGGGAGAAGCTAGCTTTACTCTTCATCTGCATCTTGACATTTTGCTATCAGATCAGATTTAGCTCAGCCTTGACCTCTGCAACTCAGTGAGCTGCATTCCAGCTGTTCAAACCAACCAACCAACCAACCAACCAGCCAACCCTTAACACTTACCTCATTTCTTAAAACCCAAGGCCCTCCAAACCCTCCAGCTGACAATGGGGTCTTAGAGCCTGTTAAGCTGCTTTTTTTCTGCTTCTGGGTTGTCCAGTAGTGTTCAGTGTTCCCTTCTGGGAATTTCTAAGGGCCCAAGATCAAACATGCTTGTCCCATTAACCAACCTAAGAATGTGTGCAGGACCACATAAAACCACATTCTTCCAGTAGACTAAATGCTGGTTGGCTAGCACAAGTGTTCCAAAATGTGGGAGCGAGAGGGATTGATTTGGGGAACTAGCACAGTTTCCTTACAAGGTTGAGGCCGCCCATCTGAGTAAGTGGGTTGGTGCCACTCATGGCCTCCAGCTTTGACTGAATTAATAGTGCTCATTAATTCTTTTGTTTGCCATTGTTGTATTCAGTTCCCACTGTCTTCTAACCTATAATACTCTCCTAAAAGCCACTTCAAAATTCTCATTCCCCTTCACTTATTTGAAGTATTCTTTTAAGAATTCTTTCTACTTTTCTAAGTAGATTACTTAGCTTCCTTTTTCAGAGAGAAGACTTCAGTGATCTGCCGTGAACTTCTTTGGTTCCTCTTTCTCTCATTACAAAGAGACGGTTGAACACTTCCTACTCCATCTCCCCCACCCCCTTTGACCCACTGGAATTTGACTGTGCCTCCTCCACTCTGGAAAAGCTGCTTTGGCAAAACTCATCAATGGTTATTATGGGCTGCAAAAAATGGTTTTGGTTATGAGCACAATTTCTTGCCATCTTTGCTTGTATTACTCCTATGCAGATTTCATATCTCATTTCTTCATGGAGGCCTTAACCCTGAGGCTGTGTTAAGGCAACATGGGCTGTGCTTCCATAGCATCCTGTGAGTCTACTTTTATAATCCTTATCAGTCATATGATCATCCTTCAGAGCTTATATTCCTCCTGCACTGAAATATCCACCTGACCACATCCTGTAGACCTCATCCCCAGCACAGTACCTAGAATAGAATTCATTGATTGGCAGACATCTCAGTTTCTATAATTGCAAAAATTACCATGTTCCTATCTCTCAGGGATAATGTGATTGCTAAAAAGCAAATGGTCCTCATTATGTAACATACTGACATACCACCCAAAGCTCTCAATATCAATGATGAGAGCTATTCTGCAACTTTATCCAGACCAAAGTAAGTCAAATATTTAAATGCAGATTAGAAACATTGTGAGAGGCAGAACAACACAGTGTTTAAAAGCATAGGCTCCAGAACTAGGTTCTCTGAGCTCTGCCATTTAGAAACTCTGACCAAAGATAGGTTTCTTAACTTCTCCGAGTCTCTGTTTCCTTATTTGTAAAACGGAGAAATTAATACTACCTGTTTTGTTGTGTTATCTGAAATAAGATAAGTGCTCAGAACATTCCTGACACACAGTGTGCATTTAGTAGGTGTTAGCTACTGTTATATGAATCTTGAATGTTATGGAAAGATTCTGTTAGCAGGAGCCCCACTTTCTTGGTTCCATCTGGTTATACTTTATAGATAAAAGCTGTGCACTATCGATAGGAATAAAGGGTACTGATCTTATTACAACAGGGCCTCCACGAAGACAGGGACTATTGACTTTGTAGGTCATTGCAATGTCCCTAGCACCTGGAATAGTTCCCAGCGTAGAGTGGTGTCCAGTACATAGTTGATAATTGAATGAATGGCCAAGCAGATGTTCAATTTTACTCTCTACAGATTTTTGTAAAGCTCAGTGAATATTTAGTTCTAATCCTAGAAAACTCACAAAAACTTACACTTAAAATTAGAGTGAAATAGAAAGTTAAGCCAAAATATTGCTTAGAATTTTCATATCAATTTTAAATGGGTTTATTACAGTCTAGACATAAAACTCATGGCATACCAACAACTAGTACTTTAAAAAAAAGTAAGATGAGAAGACCTTTTTTAAAAAACATATATAATTACCTGTAGTCTGTGGTTGTTTGGGCAGACAATAGCTGGATCATAGTGAACTATACTGATTTTAAGAGAAGTAAGCTTCATACTTGATTTGTAAGTATGCACTTCTTCCTTTACATGGCACATGGAGTATTAGAAAAATTATCATATTCTTTTGGAGTTAAACCAGGAAGAAATAGAAATCCTGTGATTAAGTAACTCACGACTCAACTCAATTTGATTTTAACTTATTTAACTGCAACTCAGTTCATTTCGTAGGCTCACAGAATGACTGGCTATCTTGGTCCAATCTCTAATTTTGCAGGTAAATAATTTGGAGTCCAGAAAGTGTCACGCTGGCCTATTTCAGTTCTATGCTAAAAGTCTAATCATTTTTCAGCAGTTTGCATGTTACTATGTTAGGTGCTACAGCAAACGCAGAGATGATAAAAACACGGCCTGAGCTCAGAAGCGCAGACACGCTGCAAATACATGGGTGATGTACAAATTATTATAAGTAGTCTAAGATGTTAGAGAAAGAGAAAGGTTGCAATTTTAAAATTATGTGTGTTAAGAAAGCCTTTGTGAAGGCAATACTATAGTGACATTTAAACATTGTCATGTGAAGCAGAATTGCAATAAACAGAGGAGGAGGGGCCAGCCACAGCCTGCCAGAGAGGAGACAGAACAACGGTGAGGGTCCGTGGAAGTGAGTGATGAGGGGGGGCCGGGCGGCCTGTGCAGAGTGAAGCTACATTTGAAGGACCTTGATGCCAGTCTGAGGGCCAGTGGGAAAGAGTGAGTCAAGTTCAGAAATCAATTCTCACATTTTAATTGGTGTTCATTTAGGTGTGAATAAACCTCTAACTTCATTAGAACCTGTTTAGCTACACAGTACAAAATTTCCTGACGAATGGTTTACTTTTCTGGAAAGAAGGTGCCAGGTGGTTAATTCTATTTTATGGTGCCTTATTACCATGTCGCTTTTAGCAAGCGATGCTTGGGGGCCTTGTCTTAAGAATTAGGGCAGGGGTGAGCTGTAGTCTCTATTTCCTTGCGCCCCCTGCCCCCCGCCTCCCCCCCTCCCCCCGCCATCACCAGGTTTCATGCAGAGATTGGACAGGGAGAGCTCTGGTGGTCTCTCCCGCAGCTCTGAGGTCTCTGCCCCTCTCTGCTCTGTTTCGAGCATTGAGGGATGAAAGCAGGCATTGTTGGGGGTGACTACCTTCTGGCCGGGCCCCTGCAAAGCCCCCGGGGGGAATGTGAAATGGAAAAGGATTCATTTTGACTTTAGGATCTCTATTCCCTGAACTGTATCTGGCTCCGGAGCTAAGGGGAACTGTGACATCAGACCCAGGTCCCCAGGACCTCCTTCCATTCTCTTTTCCCTTTCCTTTCCCTATCCTTGCCTTTCATTTCCTCAGAGGTTTGTAAACCATTTCTAAGGTTCAGGCCACTTGGAAATTTCATAGTGGAGGAAAAGGAAAAGAACAGGAAGAGTGGAGAAATGGAATCTAGTATAATCCTAAAGAAGGAAATCTATGCTCACCTGAAGAGCACCAAAACACAACTAAGTAGGTGTGATTAATTAAAGCAATTGACAAACTGAGATTAAATACCCACTGTGTGCAAATTACTGTGCTTCTGGGGATAGAAAGCTGTGAACATTGCTGTAATTCAGGGTGGCAAATTGTTAGCTTTAGAACAATAGTAACTAGTATTCATATACTAGTGTTTTAAGCTTGAAGAGCTTTTCTTGCATGATAGCTCATTTGGTCCTTACAATCCCCATAATAATGCATGTTATTAAAAAACTGTTACTTCACATATGAAGAGACTGGTATCAGAGAGGTTAAGTATGTCTAAAGTCACAGAACTAGAAGTGAGACTAAGTCCAACGCCTTCAATGATAATATTTGGCCTCTTCCTCTTTAACCATACAGGCTGGTAGAAGCTGACATAAATATTTTCAGTTTATGGACATGTGTAATCATGGAGCCAAATTTTACCTTTTCACGCAACTTATTGGTTAGTGCACCCTCAGTCAAATGAAAACAAAACCCTTACCTTCTGCCACAGTTACCACCAACCAGCAGACCAACAGCCAGGAGAAGCAGAGCTTGTGAGCCATGGCTTCCGCCAGGAGCAGTCACTGCCTTGAACCCAGCCTTAATTTAAGGGGGAGTTGGTGAGTCACCAGCAGCCTGATTCAGGTAATTTGCATGTGCATAGTGGACCACAGTGGTCAAGGTCTGTGGTGTGAGACTAAGAAATCAGCAAGGAAATTCCAGAAAGTATTTTTCAACCAGAAGCTTCTTGTAATGACAACCAAACATCATTCATCTGTCCTTGGAGTCAGACTGTAGACAACCACGCCTTCCCTGTTTTTTTTTACAATAATTCCCTCAAATCTTCTCCACTGTTTGTGCCTTTTTGCACTTGTATGTATTATCTAGATTCTACAGGCTTCCTGACCCAGGCAGTTTAAAGAGGCTGTTCATAGGCCTCTGACCAGCGTTTACGGTTTCTTCTCTTCTCTGCTTTTGTCCAGTAGAAAATTATCTTCCTTACTAGCCATCACGGTCACTGTCTAAACAAACACAAAGTTTATGGAGATCAACTTAGTGAGTTGTCCTGCCAGGGCTCCTTCTTATGCACCAAATTGCCAAAAAGATGAACACGATACATCTGTACCGATTTTTTTCTTAAAAGAAGGACTGTCAGCTGCCGGGGCAATGGGAGGGATGGTCACAAGTGATGAAGAGCATGGGCCTTGGAGTTACAAAAAACTGGCTCCAGCCCTGGCTGGTGTGGCTCAGTGGATTGAGCACTAGCCTGTAAACCAAAGGGTTGCTGGTTTGATTCCCAGTCAGGATGCATGTCTGGGTTGTGGACCAGGTCTGTTTAGGGACGTGTGGGAGGCAACTGATCAATGCATCCCTAATATATATTCTCTTTCTACCCTCCTTCCCCTCTCTCTAAAGGTAAAATAAGTAAAATCTTAAAACAAATGAACAAACAAACAAAAAAACAACAAAAAACAACTGGCTCCAGTCTTGGTTCGCTTTCTTACTAGCTGGGTGACCCAGGCTAAGTCCCTGAGAGTTGCTGGAGCCTCAGGTGCCTCATCTGGAAAACAGGACTTGTAGTGTGTCCCTCAAAGTGTTGTTGTGATGAATAAAAGTGGTAATTGACATAAAACCAACCACAGTGCCTGGCTGGTGAAAGGGAGTGGTTGGGTTGTTATAAAATTATACTGACACCAATTTCTTGTTCTCTTAGGAGGTGATACCTGCCAAGTCATTCAATCGTTCCAAAGGCCACCACTTTGAGCAGAACATTTTCTTGGACATTACAGAATGAACAACACAGATCAAAGCTCCTAGCTTTGAAGGGCTGACAATCTAACTAGGGAGACTATGCAAACTGAGAACTAAAATGAATAAGGCAAATGCTCATAATCTAAAAGATGGCAAATTCCACAGGCTTGATGATAATCATAGGCAAAATTCTAGAACAGAGGATTAAACGGGCAATTTGTCAGCAATTTGGAAAGGAAGCAGGGATCATCCAGCTCAAGCTCATATCCTGAGATTAAAGCACTACCCCTGCTTCAACAGGTCTCTATTGACCACGTATCATGTGCCAGACCATGGTCTAGGTGCTCAGGCTAAAGACAGGGTTCCCACTCTCATCGAACACACAGTCTGGCAGAGACATTAAATATTAACTAAGTAATAACAATAAAGGATTTTGAGTGTTGAGAGAAAGTACTGGAGACTCTGAAGCAGAGCAACAAAATCTATGATTTTACTTCTCTGGGTGTATATTACACGTGCTACTTTGGCCCCTGTGTTGGAAACACATTGCCATGCTAATAAAATCAGATCCATGGATCTTTTTATCTCTTGCCCAGTGTTCAATTCTATGGATTTATTAAACATTACCTAATAAACTTTTAGTTGATGGACATTGATATTATATCTTTTGATCTCCTTTCTTTTCCGTATTGTATTTCTAAGGAGCTTTCAGTTTAAATGTTGATGAAAATAAATAACAAAAGCAAATGGCATATTTTTCCTATTTGCACCTTTCTCCTGAAATTTATAAAATGAAGAACCAAAACTTCAAAAAGGACAAATTTTTAAATGTTTATTAAATTCTTATTTGACAGAAAAGTCTTATTTATTTCTTTCCTTTTGGTGAATAAGAGTAACTTAAGAATTGCCACTATTTATTTATATGTTATCTGCAGAGTGAAGCCAAGTATTCAACAATACACAAAACCAATATCACCATTGTGAGGTTGTCAGGTTATCAGATTCATTTGCAAAAATCTTTAGCTTAAAAAAGGAAATATTTCTGAAAGCTTATTGCAAATGGGATACCTTTTTGATAAAAATATCCTTTCAGTCATATACTTTAAAAATCCATGAACTGTATCATTTAGTTGAAGCCTGATCAATGGGATTCAAATTTCCATATTCTCAATGTCAAGAAAGCTATAATGGCTTTGGGTCACTGTGTTTCTCCAGCGTGTTCGGGGGAAGGGCCCATATAACCAGTTGGTATTAGGTATTTTTCTAACATTAACTTTATGAGGAGGGGATAGAGAACTCAAGAGCAGTTACTTTCTATCTCAAAGACTCAGCTAGTAAGTATAGGTCTGGGATTCAGAACTGAGATTTTTCCTTCTAATGCGAGATGTTTACTTTTATTTAAAAATCCATTCATTCATTTACTCACCAATTAATGAGTGAATTTATATTCTTATTTTAATGGACTTTTGTTTTATATCCTGCGGTTTAACAGTCTGTAAAGAAAAGCTCTACCCGGCCAGCACCATTTAGAAGTGGCCCAGGGAAGGACTCCTGTGGCTGGGGAAGGGAGACAGGGCTCGGCTGCTGGAGGAAGAGAGGTGGGGTAACAGAGACTGGACCGCTGGGGGTGAGGGGCTACCCTGATTTGTGTCTGTTACGCGTACAGTGTCCTGTCCCCCGCCCCTGCCCAGGATGTGTCCTTCCCAATTTCCGGTATGTGTCACTTACACAGAATGCCTGTTAACAAGCAAAGGTTAATCGATGTTCCTATGGAAAATTTAAAAAAACCCACCTTTTTATTACTATGTGGGTGAGATTGCTACAAACATAGCAATATTTAGAATGTTTTTTGGGGGGAAATAGTTGTCGGTGATTGAAGGGTCATGGGGTTCAACCACCTCTTGGCGTGTGACCTTGTTCCAACCAAATATCAACCAAGATGGAATTATTCATTGCTTTTATTTGGTCCAGTGTCTGTGCCTGTTTCCCTGATAAAAAGTTTCCCATGTACTATAGTGATATGTTTCATCGCAGAAGGACCACTAGTCTAAGAAGTCATTCTGAACTTTTTGGAGAATAGTCCCTCATGTCCTTCTCCCAAGTTTAGAGTCCAGGGAAGCAGGGAATTTTTTTAAAAAAGATTTCACTTATTTATTTTTAGAAAGAGGGGAAGGGAGGGAGAAAGACAGGGAGAGAAACATTGATGTGAGAGAGAAACATGTGCCCCAAACCCACAGCCCATGCATGTGCCCTGACTGGGAATCAGACTGGCAACATTTTGCTTTGCAGAATGATGCCCAACGAACTGAGCTACTCTGGTCAGGGTGAGAAGCAAGGAGAGTGTTGCTTTGTGAATGCATACTTTTTTCATCATTCATTTACCAACTATTTATATAACTATGTGCCAGACGCTACTCCTGATGAGTGAAACAGGCAAAAAATACCTGTCCTGGTGCAGTTACCATTTCAATGGGATGGAGACAGAGAGTAAATAATGATTATAACAAAGGAGTAAATTATATAATCTGGTAGAATATGTTACAATGTTAGACTATTCTGTAATATGTGCTCTAGAAAAAATTTTAAAAAGGGTAAAAAATGTTGGCGGGTGTCACGGTTTTAAGTAGAAGATGATGTTTGAACAAGGGCTTGAGGGAGGCGGGGAAGCTACTGTGGCTCTATGGGGAAAAAGCATTTCAGGCAGAGGGTACAGCCAGTGCAAAGGTCCTGAGACTGGAGCAGGCTTGCCATGTAACATGCAACCACAAAGAGGTGGCTGTAACCGGACAGAGTGGGCCAAGGGGGACAGCAGCGGGATGAGGTGAAGGAGCAATGCGTCCTTACGTGGAGCCCCTGGAGGAGTTTGCAGAGGCGTGGCATGGTCTTACATTTGAAAGGACAACTCTGGCCATTTGTGGAGAACAGATTGCTGGGGAACAGTTACGTTCAGGGGAGAGGACGGTGACTCAGATGGGGTGGTAGCAGTAGAGGTGCGGGAAACAGGGAGATTCTGGACATATTTTGAAGGTAGAATTGACAGGATTTCCTGGTGAACTGGAAGTAGGGCGTGAAAGACATGGGGGAGTCATGAATTTCAGCAAGGTTTTTGATCTGAGGATTTGACTGCTGTGGTTGGGTGTGATCAGGTAGTGAGATTATGGTTAGATTTTTAAAATGTTACTATAATATTGCTTTTTATATCAATAAAAATTGGAAGAATAAAAACACATTAGCACTTCAGTGACCCAATACTAACAAACTTTAAAATTTCAGATGAGTCATTAGTCTGAGGAGCAGTCCCGTGAAGTTTCAGGACAAGAGAAGTGAGATAGTCGTGCCTGGGCAATAAGAACAGCGGGCTTGCAGCCCGACTGACAGTGTGCCAGGCGATTCTTATGTCCAGAGCAGCTCTGCTCAGAGGGGAGAGAAGGAGGAGGTGAACAGGTGAGTGAAGCGCAGTTTCTCTGGACTTGAGAGGGCTCTAGAGTCTCTGGCTTGCCCTATCTTACCATGGGTGAGCCCCTACAGTAAAAATGTGCCTTATATCTGCCCCTCTCTCTCGGACTTTGAGGTCCTTGATAGGAAGAACTAAATCTTTTTAATTTGTTAGAAAAAATTTTAAAAGATTTTATTTATTTATTTTTAGAGAGAGCGGAAGAGAGGTAGAAAGAGAGGCAGAGAAACATCAATGTGTGGTTGCCTCTTGTGTGCTCCCTGCTGGGGACCCGGCCTGCAACCCAGGCATGTGCCCTGACTGGGAATTGAACCAGAGATCCTTTGGTTCTCAGGCCTGCACTCACCCCACTGAGCC